ACATTGTCAAGAATTCGTTGATGAGAAAGATTAGTATACATAGTAGTGAAATCAACTGTATGCGGGGCCAGACCTCTAAGAGAAGCTTTATTCTTTTTGAGGTCAAGCATGACCTCGTCACTGCTCTGAACAATCCAACATCCTCGAATACCTTCGGTTCGAAAGAGTTGATTATCTTTTTCGCGAAGAGTACGGATGACGCCTTGAAGTGCTGTACTCAAACGAGCCGAAGTAGGCGTTGTACTAGCTACCGGCTTGTGAGGCGGTCGGTGATGCAAACGCTGGACTCGTTTATTGTCACATGATATCAGAGCGCCAAAGTGAAAAACAGAAAGAAAACAAGGAAAACAAGAAAAACTTAATTCGTTTTCAATCTTCTCCCTTACAACTCCCCCTGTTCAGAACCTCTTGGGTACAAGGCCGCCCACGTGGATGTAGGTTGAGCGGCGGCTGCCCCCACCCCCGTGTGTCATATCGACCCACTTGCACACAGCCAGAAGGCAAAGAGGCAAAGAAAAGAGGAAGGGAACAGCCAAATAATACAGAACAGGGGGCAACAAAACAGATCCCAGATGACAAGTCCCACATGCAAGCACCGCCGCTGCCCACAGGCCAAACGACGGGACAAGACCAACCAGGATGTCAAAACATTCTTGTCTGCAAAGAAACCAAAAAAAGTACCAAAAAGAACCCGGAGGACCGGTATATATATATATATCCGCAAACAGAGCTGCCCCGTAAGCCGTGGGCAGAGAGGGAGACGAGGACATATACATGAACATGCATGTACTACGTACACACATACCCGTCTACATACAAGTAAATGGTACTAAGTTGAGGGGCGAAAAAACATAATACAAAAGATCACATGAATCGATATTCACAAATCTAGAAAGTTTACGTCACGAAATTAAGGGGAGGGAAAAACAAAACAAAACAAAACAAAAATAAACAAAAAAAAACAAAAAAAAAAAACAAAAAAATCAAAAAAACAAAAAAAAAGATATTCACAAATCTAGAGACAAGTTAAAGGCACGATATGCAGGGGACGGAGGGAAAACAAAAAAAAAAACCCGATATTTACAAAATTCAATCTAGAGACAAGTTAAAGCCTTAAAGGTATGAAATTAAGAGGAGGGAAATGGCCCCAGACCTTCCGGGTCGAATTGTGAGGTCCCCGGCCTCTTTCCTATGATTTTGAATATAAAAGTGCTACTCTTTCCAAAAAAAAAAAAAAAAAAAAAAAAAAAAAAGAGGAGGGAAATGATTGGTTGAACGGTAGTACGTTACGTTTCCGGGGGCAGTCCATTAGGAAATTGAAGAGATCATCGCCGTACGCATCATCTTCCACCTGTGGGTCTTCATCCCGATCCCTATCTCCAGGTCTGACACCTGTCATTGTCATCGTCTCTATCGCTTGCATGAACTCTTTCGTCACAAGTTTTTCTAATTGTCATAATGACAATTTGACAAAGAACAGCCAATCAAAGCATGCCAACGTCATCACACCATTAAAAAAAAAAAAAGAATAAAAAAGAATTTCTTTCGAATTCATCATGATGACGCCTGAATCTGGACGTGCTTGAGGACAGAAGAAGAAGAAAATCTGATCAGAAAAGAAAAGATATCACACTTGATCTCCTACTTACCCAAAAGGCCGAGAAAGGCTCAAAAAAAAAAGAAAGTAAGAAAAAATTGGTTTCTCGAATTTATCATCATGACAAAGAAAAGCCAATTGCAGCACCATACCACATCATCAAGGCATTAGAAACATTGGAAGCAAAAAAAAAAACAAAAAACAAACAAACAAACAAACAAACAAAAAAATCGAAAGGAAGGAAAGATCGGTGCAAGTCAAGTCAAAAAAAAAACAAAAAAAACAAAAAAAAGATCGGTGCAAGTCAGCGAGAAGAGAGCGAAAGTCAAAGTCAACGCACCAGGGGCGAGGTCTCCACTGCAGTCTTCCCCCGAATACAACGTACGGTCATTATATTATAGCTGAATTTGGGGTATCTTTCAGTCTAACTACAGCTGCTTGACCGCACGGTCATTATAGTATAGCTAAATTTGGGGTATCTTTCAGTCTAAATACAGCTGCTATAATGACCGCACGTTGCATTCGGCGGAAGAAGGAAGGTAGCACAGAGGATTGGATTTAACGCCTGAATCTGGACGTGTTTCAGGACGGAAGAAGTAAAAAAAAAATCGTGATTGATCCGCTTTTCTGCATCTCCGCCTAGAACCCATCCAGACTCAGGCTCTTAATCTGATCCACTTTTTTTTTTTTTTTTTCCCCTCATCTGATCCACTTTGCTAGTAGGGTAACCTCGCCCCAGGATTCCACTAGATGTAAACGATACTTTTGCTGTAAATTTGTTAAAACATAATTTCCACAGTTTTTATTGAGCTTTTTTTCTTTTTTTTTAACTCAAGAGATCCTCACTCTTCAGAACCCACAGTTTTATCAACCTTTTTTTTTTGTTTTTTACTAAAATTTTGTTATTTTTTTATAATTTTATCAAGCTGTTTGTAGTCGGTTACAAGGACCGCACTTCGCAAAAAAAAAAAAAAAAGAGTTAAAAAACAAACCAACAAACAAAAAAACTGTTACC